TTAATAATTCAATTAAATATTCATTAAAGCTTATTTTAATATATACTATTTTATCATGAACTAAAAATTTTTTAATATATCTTTAAAATATTGATTTAATATATATTGTATATATTTAATTAATTTAAGTTTTGATATTTTTATTAGCATAAAAAGTTATGATTTTAACTTATTATTACGTGTTAAACTACGGATAACAAATTAAGAGCATTTACTCGTTACTTTTCGAGGCATCCATACTTAAAACTTTTTCTTTATTTTTTCTGTATCTTATAAATTATATCATCTAACATATATTATGATTATTTTCTTTCTTGATATACGCAAATCAATGATAATATAGTAGTAAATAATTGATAATTTAGTAATTAATCATTAAAAATTTAAAAGTAACAAATATAACTTAGTAATAATTATCAATAACTTAATGTTAATAGGTAATAATTTAATACTAAATAAAAAATAACTAAATAGTAGATTAGTGATAGCTTAATAGTAAATACATGATAATTTAGAAGTTAATAATTGATAATTTAGTAGTAAATCGGTAATAACGTAATAATAAATGAATAATAATTTAGTAGCAAATCAATTATAATATAGTTGTAACTGTAAAACAATATAGCAATAAATCAATGATAACCTATTATAAAATATATGATAACTTGGTAGTTTATTATTGATAACTTAATGATAAATTAATGATAATTTAATAATAAATTACTGATAATTTAATAGTAAATATGTTTATGTTTAATACTAATTAATTGATAGTACATAGTAAAACATAAATAATTTATGGGTAAATCAATGATAACATAGTAATAAATAATTGATAATTTAATACTTAATTATTAAAAATATAAAAGTAAATTAATATAACTTAATAGTAAATTATCGATAACTTAATAGTTAATCAGTTATAACTTAATATTAAATCATAGATAATTTAATATAATTCAGTAATAACTTGATAGTGAATCATAAATAATTTAGTAATAAAATCTATAATAATTTTGTGATAAATAATAGAAAAGCAAGCAGTAAATCAATGATAATATAGTAGTAAATACATAATAATATAATAGTAAATTATTAATAATTTAATAATAAATTGATAACTTAATAATAACTCACTAATAACATAGTAATAATTACTAATAAGTTAATTGTAAATAAGTGATAATTTACATAATAAATTAATTAATCATTGATAATTTTTTATTAAATCATCAATAAATTAATAATAAATCATCATAAGTGTGGGTATGTACAACTTTTGATCTCCCTATCATTGGTTTTATTAAGTTCATGGTATTTTTATTAGCCCTTAACACTCAAGATGAAAATTCAAGTTTGTTTCTACTAGTAATCATAGTTGAATCCCCAGTATTTTAAGGGCTCATAAATACTTACTACTGTTGGTAAAGTATAGACAAATCTATATATATTTTCCTATTAATATAATACATTTTGAGACTTATAAATACTTGTGATTGAATGGGCATATAAGTCCATACATTTGAACTATATTGGTATAAATGTATTTTGATATTTATAAATGTCATTTTGTTATATGATGATTCAACTATTTATTGGTATTTGACAATTTTGATTACAATCATTTTGTGTATCCGAATTTGGATTTTAAATGTACAACTTTGTATATATAAGTTATGCTATATTTTCAAAATATTCAAATTTGGCTTGTGTTGTGAGAGATTGTTGCATTTATTTTATTTATATTATAGACAAATAAAGTCAATTAATTCAGAGGTTAATTAACGTTAAATTATGAATAATTATAGTGGTGTTATATTAATTAAATGTGATATGTTGTTGTTCTTGTATAGATCCCATAATGGGATGGGACATTGCAAGTAAATGAGAGGGTCCCTACACTCATCCTCTCCATGTATGTAATGCTAGTACATTGAACATTACTAACTTCAGTTTGTGAGGGAAGAGTGTAGTTCCTCTCTCAAACAGTGCAGCCTCCTCTCCACGCATGGGCAACCAGAACCAGACCAGCTTCAGCCACCACCAAATGCAACTCTGACGAGGCTCTATTATCGGTAATAACCCCAACAATTTGGGTTCAATGGGTTTCAGCTTTAATTTTAGTTTTAAGCGTAAATCAGTGACTTCGTGAGCTTGAATTAGTTCTAACAGTTTCGATACGGAGAATTAGGCACCCAAAGGAAAAACAATAAGAAGTCTTAAATATGGAGCGTTCTTGTTGTTCATTGTGTTTTTATACTGCATTTCCATTGCTCATTTTGCTTTCCTTGTATATCTAACACCTTTTACTGCAGTTTATATTATATGGATCAGTAGATATGGGAAGAATATCTCTTCACTACTGTTCTAGTCAGGCTGCCAGGAAGAAATGTTTCTACTGTTCTGGTAGAAATAATAGAACAGTATAAATGATAGGTTTATTTTGTAATATCTTTATTTTTTTTTTTCAATTAAAGACTTGTGTTTAATCGTTATAACATCTATGAAAATTACGTTTAAAGTTTTAAAAGTGGGACTTGCTTTATCCTAATTTTTCTTTTTTACCTTTTTTTCTTTTGTTTTTTTTTTTTTTTTACATTTTTATAAATATTTTTTTAGATTTTAAATTTTTTTATGAACTCACATGATATGAAAGTTATATCATGTATTTGTTTTTTTTTTTTACTTTTTTACATTTTTTTATTATTTTTATATATTTAATAAATATTTTAATGATTTTAAAATTTTTTGTATGACTCACTTGATTCTTAAAATATATCATGTGTTAAGTCATTTATTTATTTTTTTAATATTTGATAAATATTTTTTAATATTATGAAATTTTTTAGTGATTTTCATTTGATATTATTGATTAAAAAAATATTTTTTATCTATATTTCATTATCTATTTAATTTTATATTTATATGTATGTATTTTATTAATTAAGTTATTATTTTATATCTTACTTTAAGATATTAATATTTTTAGCTCGATTTGGATGTTTATACAACAGTATGATAATCTCTATTTTTTTATTTCTTTTGATTTTTTCTCTTTTATTTGTTTGTTTCTTTTTTCCTAAATTTTTTTATTTTTAATTAATTGGATTAATTTTTAATATCTTAATTTAATATATTAACATTTTAAACTTAAATAAAATGTCATGTTCTAACCCAGTGAGTTTTATTTTATTTTCATTTTTTATTTTTATTTTTTACTTTTTTTTATTTTTTCTTTTACGTTTTTCTTTTGTTTTTATGATTTTTTAAGTTAAATTAATTTTATGAAAAAAAAAAGAGGGCAATAGAAATGGTTATGTGGGACATTCAATTTTTAATTAAATAAATTTTTAAAAAAATATGTTCTTCGAAGAATACACTAAAATAATTCTAATTCAATAAATTTTGATTTATTTTAACCCGATAAAAGAATAATCTTTTTAATCAAAAACCGAGTTGAGACGAAATTTAGGTTTTTCTTTTTTTGAAAAAAAACGAGATCATGGAAACGTGTTAGGATACTTTTTCTCAATTATTTTTATGTGTATATATATATATATATATATGTATATTATTATTATATATATTTTAAATTAGAATGTTCTGGCACCATTTATAAACTTTTATTATTTTTTATTTTTTTTTGTTTTTGTACTTTTTTTTAATTAAATAAATTTTATAAAAAAATAAAATCAATTAAAATATTCACGTATTACCTTCATTTATTTTTTTTATCTCTCATTGTTATTTTTTAATTATGTAAATTTAACAATAAAATTGATAAATAAAAATAAAATTCCAGAAAGAAAGAGAAAAAAAAAAAAAAAAAAAAACTCTGTTCTAATCTAGCATTTTCGTAGTTGAAAAAACTCTACCCCAAAAACAGAAAACCCCTCACATTCCTCCCTTCCCTTCTTTTTCCTTCTTTGCCCCTTACCAAACACAATCTCTCTCTCCAATTTCCTCCAAAATTCAGAGAGAAAATAAAAAAAAGAAGAAGATAATTTTGTTATGTCAGACAAAGAGAGAGAAAAAAGACAGCCAAGAATTTTCTGGAATCTTTGATGGAACGATCTTTTTTTTCCTTTTACACTTGGCTTTTTATTCAGAGAAGAGTCTTTTCGAAGTTTATTGTTTGTTTTCGTTTTGTTTTTTTGCTCCTTGACTCGGTCAACGACCAATATGTGTGTGATTTCGGATGCCCGTTTTAGACCGAATTGATGGGTCAACGATTCGTCAAAGTGGAAGATTGATGACGATTTTGGGGATTTAACTCTTCAAATCAAAAGTGGAAAAAAATTGATGGAGCGATTCATCTCCGTTTGTTCATGGTTGATTTTGGTGTTGTATTTGGTTTTCAGAGTTGCGGGAAATGCGGAAGGTTCGTTATATTTTTTTTTTTGGGTAAAAGATTGAATGAAACAATTGAGTTTATATAATCATATTATTAAAAAAATTATAATTTTTTATAATTTTTTTAATAATATGATTATGTGATATAATTTAAATAAAAATTATATATCTTGGAATGATGAAATTATTTTATACAATTTTTTCATTTTTATTTTTTTATTTTTGTATTCTGATTTTTTTATGAGATTCAAATTAGAAGAAATTAGTAGCAATTTTGGATTGGTTTAGAAGTGGCATGAGGCTTGACTGCTTGTTTTAAATTTCAATTAGCCTCAGTGCACTAAGTGACATGACTGAAGGGATAGTTGCACGCTTCGTAATGATTAATTTCTGCAAAAATTTTGGATATGATTTACGTTCTAATTCTCCATATTCAGTTAGGTGAAATTAACCAATGCTTTTTCTTCATCAATGTCTGACGTCTGGATAGTATTATGTTTATTGTGATGAACCTTCCAACTTATGGTTGAGTTTTGGCCCATCCCAACTGTTTAAATAGTTTCATAATATGATTTGATCTCCATTGGAGTTTTCGGTTTATGTAATGAAACAGGTGATGCTTTGAATGCTTTGAAGGCCAATTTGATTGACCCAAATAATGTGTTGCAAAGTTGGGACTCAACCCTTGTTAATCCTTGCACATGGTTTCATGTCACGTGTAATAGTGAAAAAAGTGTAACAAGAGTGTAAGTTTTCTTATAATATACCTTTTTGCTACTGCAGTTGATGTTACTTTCGAGTTTCTAGTTTGGCTTAATAAATGCTTTTCCTTTGTCAATTTAGTGATCTTGGGAATGCGGGTCTATCTGGTCAATTGGTTCCACAGATCGGGCAGCTTATGAATTTGCAGTATCTGTAAGTGGATAGCTTTTGCCCTGGTGATTACATGCTGCTCCACATTGTTAGAATTCTTTTAAGCAGCAAAAGATAAATAAATAAATAAAGGAAAAACAGAACAGCAGCATGCTTTGCCAAATAATTAATGACTTTTTTTATTATTTAGGGCTTCCTTTAGATTCTTTTCCAAGATTTGGTTGTAGTAGATAAGTTTCATTGGAAATCATTTTTCTTAAATTTGTAACTGTATAAAATCGAATAATCATATCTTGTTAGAAAAATACCTGAGTTTAAACTCAGGGTGAAACTCCAGCACTCAACCTTAGAAAAAATAAAAATATTTTAGAGCACAAATTTTGTGTGCTTTTTTCGCTATGCACTGGTTTTTATTGGTTATGCTTAATCATGAAGATGGTTGCATTCCATTGGATTTGGTTGCACATTTCATACAAATACTTGAATTATGTGCTTCTATTGAACTACCTTTGTGACTTTGTCCAAGAATTACTGAGTCAATTTTTTATGACAGGGGGCTTTATGGCAATAACATATCTGGAATAATCCCAGAGGAGCTTGGAAATTTGATAAACTCGGTGAGCTTGGATCTTTCCTTGAATGCTTTAACCGGGAACATTCCAACTACTCTGGGCAAGCTTCCAAAACTACGTATCCTGTATGAACACATTTTACATTTTTATGTGGTTAATTTATCTAATTTCTTTGTTCTCTTGCTTTCTAGTCGTATGTGTTTTAGTATATCTAGACAGCTTTTACGTGTTGATATATTGCTTGCTGAATTGGATTGGTAAATGGTTTTATTATTAGAAATGTATGTGCTTTATAATATGTTATGTTATGTATTTCCTCTTCTCTTCCTACGCATGCAGAATGTTCTTTTAGTAGGTTTTTACAGGACAAGAATGGATGGTAGGTAAATCTATTGGGATACTGAAATTTAGTTCATGTCTTACAACCCTTCCCCCAACTCAGAACATTTTAGCAATACAGAGAAGAAGAAGGAATTATTTAGGCTCCGTTTAGTTGTCTTTTTGGCTATTTGCTTTAAAAAAGCAAAAAGAGCATTTAGATGCAAAAGCAAATAAAAATTTGAAGGATTGTAGACAAAATATATAGTTCTTTTAGATGACAAAATGATGCTTTGCCAAATAATTAATTGACTTTTTTTATTGTTTAGGGCTTCCTTTAGATTCTTTCCCAATACTTGGTTTTAGTAGATAAGTTTCATTGGGAATCGTTTTTCTTAAATTTGTAACTGTGTAATATCGAATAATCATAACTTGCTAGAAAAATACCTGAGTTTAAACTCATGGTGAAATTCTGGCACTCAACCTTAGAAAAAGTAAAAATATTTGAGAGCACAGATTTTGTGTGCTTTTTTTGCTATGCACTGGTTTTTATTGCTTATGCTTAATCATGAAGATGGTTGCATTCCATTTGATTTGGTTGCACATTTCATACAAAGATACTTGAATTATGTGCTTCTATTGAACTAGCTTTGTGACTTTGTCCAAGAATTATTAAGTCAATTTTTCATGACAGGAGGCTTTATAACAATAACATATCTGGAATAACCCCAGAGGAGCTTGGAAATTTGATAAACTTGGTGAGCTTGGATCTTTCCTGGAATGCTTTAACCGGGAACATTCCAACTACTCTGGGCAAGCTTCCAAAACTACATACCCTGTACGAACACATTTTTATGTGGTTAATTTATCTAATTTCTTTGTTCTCTTGCTTTCTAGTTATATCTGTTTTAGTATATCTAGACAGCTTTTACATGTTGATATATTGCTTGCTGAATTGGATTGGTAAATGGTTTTATTAGTAGAAATGTATGTGCTTTATAATATGTTATGTATTTCCTCTTCTCTTCCTACACATGCAGAATGTTCTTTTAGTAGGTTTTTATAGGACAGAGTGGATAAGAGGTAAACCTATTGGGATACTGTAATTTAGTGCATGTCTTTCAACCCTTCCCCCAACTCAGAACATTTTAGCAATACAGAGAAGAACAAGGAATTATTTAGGCTTCGTCAGTTAGCTTTTTTGCTATTTGCTTTAAAAAATCAAAAAGCTCATTTAGATGCAAAAGCGATTAAAAATTTGAAGGATTGTAGACAAAGTATATAGATCTTGTAGATTGACAAAATGCATGATCCTACTTCTATATAGACCGATAATATTATAATTGGTTTCACATTTAAGCTATTTTGTCCATTTTAAAATCTATTATAATATTGCGTTTTATCGTTTGCATTTGGTTAGAAATTTTTAAAAAATAAAAGCGAATAGCAAAAATATCAATCAAATGGAATCTTAATTCACAACTTAGAGCCCTCCAAGAATTTATCAGTATGCATCATTATAGAAGTCTACTAAATCTAAAAAAAAGGGGATAAAAATATGTATTTGCATGGACTTAGCTAATCATATTGGATTAGGACAGCTAAAATTATTAGATTAGGAATAAAAACCTAAAACTACCAATGACACTGAACTGAGAGGACATTTTGATTGCTGAAAAACCCATTGTTTAGTTGTGAGCTTCCAGAAAGGATAACTTTTATCTAACGAACTTACAAATGGACCATCATGGTACCAAAGACTAGCTAAGGTCCAAATACCAAATCCCTTCCACTGTGGTTGTTGGTGTTAACTCCGAAGTTCTGTACTGTATTCCTTTCTTCTCTTCTTTATTCATGATGTTGTTTGGACATCAAGTGTAACAACCAACAGGAGGAAAACATTAAACTGAGTGAATTCTAGGTGATGACATTGTAATCCCCCAAATACCTCGTTGGGTATATGTTAGACTTATACCTACGCTTGTGAGATGCTTTTTGGCATTCTGGCTCACAGTGGATCATAACTCACAAAAACTAGCCCGTTGTGGGCTCTCATTTTGCGCTAGTGAGATCTTGGTATTGTGGAGTGGGTGTTAAATGTGATCATGATGTGTTGCCTTGACGTGGACATCAAGAATTTTAGTGGTTGGGCTGTGATACCCTTACTACATCTGATGTGAGTGTCCTTAAAACCCATATAGGGATCCAAGTCAATTATTATTAGCTACTGGAGCTTAAGCTTTGGGGGGCCACATGGTTTAGGTTAAAAGGTTGTTGGGCCAGTTATTCTTAGGTGATATGGGCTATATAGATATAGAAATGGTTTCTTTAGTGCCATAGATTTTTTCTTTTAATTATATCTGTGCTAATATTATTCCCTAAGCATGAGTTTTTATCTGTTACGTATCTGATCATCTCATCAATATGCAATATAATTAATGCTTTCTTTCTGTGGAATAGGCGTCTCAACAACAACAAATTGTCTGGACAAATTCCTAGGTCCTTAACTACTCTTAAGTCACTGCAAGTGCTGTGAGTGGTGCTGTCAGATTTTTTTTTGCATTAGCCAGTTCAACCTTAACTTCTAGAACAACATAATAATTGTGTGAGATGTTATATTATGTGACGCAGGGATCTTTCAAACAATCAGCTAGTAGGTGATATTCCAGTTAATGGTTCCTTTCCAGTATTTACACCTTTCAGGTTTTTTGCCTATTCTATCTCATTTTGCTCTCACCCTGTCACCCGACTCCTGACGCTCACCACCACTGCTTTTTCCCATTTTTTTTATCTTTAATACTCTCAGGCCAGTGTCTTAAATTGCTGCATCTTTTTTTCTCAGTTTTGCTAATAATCGACTGAATAATCTTCTACCTGCTCCACCACCTCCTATCTCACCTACAGCTCCAACTCCATCAGGTTTTTTATTGATTTTATTATTATTATCACTGCTAATAACTCTAAACTGTGCCTAACTTCGGGGCCTGCTTCTCTTTTATGAGTATTTCTTCTTTTTCTTGAGGTATTCCATGGAATTCTCCTTTGCATTAACAACTGTTTTGGTATTACCATGTTTCTGTAACATACTAAGAATTGCTGTAGGTTGAGTATATTACATCCTGAACTTCCTTACATCTGGGTCTGTTTTTTAAGAATTTACCTTTGAGTTCAGATCTAAAATCTGATGATGTACCTAGGAACGGCTTTAGGTTCCTTAGTGGGCTAGAACATGAGCTCCACCTCTAATACCCCCAGTCCAGAAGTTCTCTCAGTTGAAATGTTGCCTCCTGCATTGGTGTTGTTACCAGCTGAAAATGTTAGTAATAGTTATGAGTATTGGTGTTGCAGGTGTCTTGGCAGTATCTATATTTATCTAACTTATACTGGCAGGTAATAGTGCCACTGGTGCTATTGCTGGAGTTGCTGCTGGAGCTACCCTGCTTTTTGCTGCTCCTGCAATTTTACTTGCTTGGAGGCATAGAAGGAAACCACAGGATCATTTCTTTAATGTACCTGGTTAGTGATTTTTCAAAAGATAGTTTTAATTGATACTATGCCGTTGCATGCATGTCTTCATTTTTCTAATTTTCTTTATAGCTGAGGAGGTCCTAGAAGTTCATTTGGGAAAACTTCAAAGGTTTTCTTTGAGTGAACTACAAGTGGCAACAGATAACTTTAGCAACAAAAACATTCTGGGTAGAGGTGGTTTTGGTGAAGTTTACAAAGGTCGCTTAGCTGATGGTTCTCTGGTGGCAGCAAAAAGATTTAAAGATGACCGTACTCCAGGTGGAGAGTTGCAGTTCCAAAAAGAGGTAGAAATGATAAGTATGGCTGTGCATCGGAATTTGCTACGTCTCCGTGGCTTTTGCATGACCCCTACAGAATGGCTGCTAGTCTATCCCTTTATGGTTAATGGTAGTGTTGAATCCTGTTTAAGAGGTACGGGCTGTTGTTTCCTTATTTATTTCATTAGTCATGTTTCCTGTTTATGCATTGCATTTATATTATGTGTGTTATTTATTTTATATGTTTTCTTCTGGTTACCAATTCATTTCAGATGTAAACTATTTATTCTTGTGTGAGCTTCATATATCAATATCTGCTCTATTGTTTCTGTAGTTTGAGAATAAATTTTGAACCACTGATCACATATCATAGTCTCGATCTAAAACATTTTGACTTTCTTCTGATAATTTCATACATTTGGTAAATGTGGATTGTCTTTGAATCCAAGTGGAATTTTGAGAAATTCATGGAATCCAAATACTTTGTGATCTCTTCTTGTTACAATGGACCATCTGTTCATCTGATTTTTACATTCTCTAGGGCGTCCGGAGTCTCAATCACCACTTGATTGGGCTATAAGGAAACGGATTGCAGTGGGAGCTGCAAGGGGGCTTGCATATTTGCATGATCATTGTGATCCTAAGATTATACACTGTGATGTGAAGGCTGCAAAAATATTGTTGGATGAGGAATTTGAAGCAGTAGTTCGAGACTTTGGGCTGGCCAAACTGATGGACTATAAAGATACTCATGTGACAACTGCTGTTCGTGGCACAATTGGTCATATAGCTCCTGAATACCTATCAACTGGAAAGTCATCAGAGAAAACTGATGTTTTTGGGTATGGTGTTATGCTTCTTGAACTCCTTACAGGACAGAAGGCTTTCAATCTTGCTCGGCTTGCAAATGATGAAGATGTCATGTTGCTTGACTGGGTATATACTGTTTTTCCTATTACATGTGTCTCAATCGTGGTGCATTTCACAGTTTGACTTTTGTCATTCTTGTCTAGTGTTGGAATTATTCAATTCTTGTTTCACTTGGTTGGCCAAAAGCAACAGATAAAAGTACAGTATAGCAGAACTACCCTTATAACACAGTGAAGCTCTATTTTATTTTCCTTGCAAGGTGAAAATGCAAAAGCAGAAAAGCAGAAATACTTGAAACTTGAAATTGTTTTCTCTACAAGGTGAAGAGGGAAAAAGAAAATATAAAATGGTTGTTGGGTGATGCTATCTTTTCTTTTCTTGAAGTTGCTAGCAGTCAAGATACGCCGGGGTTCCTAAGATCCTTTCTGTTCACTAATTTTGGGTATGCTTGTTTTTAAATGAAGTTGGTTTAAAACAAATGGTTTTTGGATGCCTATGTAATTAACTACTACATTCTTGACATTGATCTTTGCTGCATTTTTTTTTTTTTGATGCCATTAAGATTCACATCTTTGTCAACCGCAATTATGTCAAATTCAAGTGAAGCTTATCAATGGTACAAATGGTTTCTGTTTCTTTTTTTTCCCCTTAAACTTGACAGCGATGCTGAAATTTCAGGTAAAAGGGCATGTGAAAGACAGGAGGTTGGAAAGGCTGGTTGATTTGGATCTTGAGGGTAATTACATAGTTGAAGAAGTGGAACAGCTAATCCAGGTGGCTCTTTTGTGCACTCAGGGCTCCCCAGTGAAACGACCTAAGATGTCTGAAGTCATCATGATGCTGGAGGGTGATGGCTTGGTTGAAAGATGGGAAGAGTGGCAGAAAGAAGAAATGTTTGGCCAAGAGCTTAACCATAACGGCTTGGCTGAAAGATGGGAAGAGTGGGAGGAGGAAGAAATGTTCAGCCATGAGTACCCAACCGCCTGAATACTAATTGGATAATTTCAGACTCCACATCTCACATCCCTCCTAGATGACCACTTCTGCAAATAGGTCTTCAGGCAGGGTTGGTTTTGTATTTTGGATTCGCATTGTTCACATTTGCGCATGTAGTTTTTCATTTTGGTTTCTTTTTTGGCCCCATTTATCCTGTTTTTATAATTTATATACTACAGTTTCGATCATTTCCTGACTTACAGCTAATTTTCAAAAAGAACAAGAGTCAACCTTTACGAAAAGGCCCGTTGTGAGGGAAAAAAGCCTCTTCCTTTTTTTTTTTTATCTGTAAGCGAGGATTGTGGTAGTCACATAAGTTGCACTTGAACATTTATTTATACAGAATAATTATATTGAATTTGTAGTTGTATGTTGTACAAATTTTTAAAATTAACTCAGTGGCCAAAAAAAATTTGAACTTTATAACATTTAAACTTTGTTTCAGTGAAAAATATATTAGATTGACATAAAATTTATTATTTATAGATAATAATTATATATCAAGATGATCATTTATCTATCTTTTTGTATGTAAAATTGTAAATTTTAAAACTGTTAAAAGTCATTGATCTAAGTATTTTTTGAATTTTTAAATTAAAAAATTTATCTTTAAACATATAATTTTTATTAATTTATTTAAGTTTAATTTAATTAATTAAAATTAAAAATAGAGTCTATGTGATATTACATTACTTAAAATTTTTATTTAAATTTTAAACGCCTTCAGTAAATTTTTATAAAATTTACTTTAAATGAATTTTCTTTTTGATTATTAAACTTTTTTTTATAATTAAACTCAAAAAGTGCTAAAAGTACTTAACTAAAATATCCTTAATAATCATTATTAAAAATAATCATAATTCATTGAATCATATATGCATATTAATGATTTTATTATTTGTATGTTGTATCAGTTGATCACCATAATATAATTAAATCCTTTTTGTTCATTTGAAATAATTTTTTAATTATATCATTCTTATAATTTAACTAAACTTAAAAGTTAAAAGTTTTCATTAAAGAAATTCATTTGATAAATTGTTATTTAATTGTGTATCTAGTATTTAAATTATTTTAAATTTTGACTTTTTATAATCTTGAGTAGAATTTTAAACTTAAGATCAACGATAAATTAGCTTGAGTTAAATTTTATCATTTACTTATATTATTGTATACTTAATTATTTATATATGCATATCGACAAATTTAACTAAATAATCGGTGCATATTTTCTTTTGTTTTAAAAATTTGATTCAAAATCATATTAAATCTAAATAAAAAATATAATTAGTTACCTATAATTGCAATTTAAGTTTAGAATTATTCTTAAAAATTAATTAACTAATTCAACCACAAAAATAATTAAAATAAGACATTGCAAATGAAAGAAAAAAATAAACTTAAATATAGAACTTTTAAATTATTACAAAAAATTAATTAGAAATATTAAACTCTGAATGACTTATTATTCGATTTGATTTTTGATTATATTAAATCATTTTGGGTTTTAAATAACTTTTAAATTGTTGACTTTTTAAAATTAATTGAAATAGAATTAAGTTAGTTTATTTTTATAATTATGTGTATTATATTAATGTTTAATTATATTAAAATTTAAAATATGTAAAAAAATTATATCCTTAAATTGAGTTTTGAATTGTTTAAGTTTGAGTTTATTAATCATGTTATTTTGATGTATGCTTTCTGACATTGATAATAAATTTTAAAGTAAAATAAGAACATAACACAATGAAAATTTAAGCACAAAAGTTATAGTGATAATTATGATAATTTTAAAAGAAAATCTTTATACTCAAGTCTTGTAAAGATTAAAAGATATACCTTTTTTAAAGATTTTGAAATTCATATTGCATAAATTTTAATTTACATTAGTAAATTTATAATCGTTCATTTGTTGATTAAGTTATTACTAGATGAGTTAAAGAAAACAACTCAAATATTTCATTTGAAATAGATATCATTGTTCATACTTATTTAAGAATACAATATATAGTTAAATACTTTTTTTATTATTCTGATCCCTTACAATATTTTTTACATTTTCGAATTAAAAAGTTTGTTGGTATCAAAATATCAAAAAAATCATTCTAAATGATGGTTTAAAAAATGACACAACAATTAGAAATATATCATTTTTTTTCATTTAGTATAAGAAACTTGTGAAGGAAAATACAAAAGTAATTATTATGAATTTAATTTTTTTAAAATTTATTGTCTATTTTTTTATAAATTTTATTTAGTAATTTTTTCTCATTACTTTTCTCTTTTATATATAATAAAATTTGTATCCAAAATTATATGCTTAAATATAGAAATATATGCTAAAGTTTATTTCTTTTTTTTTTGTTGCATAACATTTTAAGCTCAAATGAAATGTCATGTTCTAACCTAATAAGTTCTATTTTCTTTTCTTTTTTTTTTCATTTTTCATTTTTTTATGTTTTTTTTTTTTTTTTTTTGCTTTTATGATTTTTCAAGTTAAATTAATTTTAAGATAAAAATGAGGACAATATAAATGTCCACGTGACGCTTTCAATTTTTAATTAAATAAATTTTAAAATAAAAATATCAATTGATAAAGATATTAAATAATTCTAATTCAATGAATTTTTATCTGTCATAATCTAATAAGAAGCAATTTTTTTAATCATAAATCGAGTTGAAACAAAATTTAAATTTTTTTTAGAAAGAATTTAATCATGAAAACGTGTTTAGGATATTCTTTCCCAATCATTTTTATAAATATATAAAAGCGTATATATAGATATATATTGTATATATGTATATATATATATATATACTTATATATTTTTTAGAATGAGAATATCCATCTAACACCATTTATAAACTTCTTTTATTTTTTTTTATTTTTGTATTTTTTAATTAAATAAATTTTATAAAATAAATAAAATCAATTAAAATATTCACATATTATCTCTATTTTTTTTATCTTTCATTTTTTATTTTTTTAATTATGTAATTTTTCAATAAAAATTGATAAATAAAAATAAAAATAAAAATTCCAAGAAGAAAGAGTAAAAAAAAAAAAACTCTATTATAATCTAATATTTTTGTAGGAAAATCTCTACTCCAAAAATTAAAAACTCCTCGCAAGCTTCTCCTTCCCTTTTTTTTCCTTCTTTACCCCTCTCCAAGCACAATTTCTCTCTCTCTCTCTCCCCCTCTTTCTCTGCAACTTCCTCCAAAATTCAGAGAGAAAAGAAAAAAATACATAATTTTGTTGTGTCAGACGGAGAGAGAGAAAGATAGATAGCCAAGAATTGTCTGGTATTTTTGATCGAAACTTTTTTTTTTTTACTTTTTCCCTTTTAGCATTTTAGTTCAGAGAAGAGTCATTTTGAAGTTCATTGTTTCTTTTCGTTTTGTTTTTGTGCTCCTTGACTTGATCAACGACCAATACGTGTGTGATTCCGGATGCCTGTTTTAGACCGAATTGATGGCTCAACGATTCGTCAAAGTGGAAGATTGATGACGATTTTGGGGATTTAGCTCTTTAAATCCAAAGTGGAAAAAAAATTTGATGGAGCGATTCATCTCCGTTTGTTTATGGTTGATTTTGTTGCTGTATTTTGTTTTTAGAGCTGCGGGAAATGCGGAAGGTTCGTTATATTTTTTTTTTGGGGAAAAGATTGAATGAAATAATTGAGGTTATATAATCATATTATTAAAAAAATTAATTATTTATTATACTAACTAAATAGAAAATATTTATTTTAATAAATTAATTAATTTTTTATAATAAATAATTAATTTTTTAATAATATAATTATATGACATAATTCAAATAAAATATATATATTGAAATGATGAAATTATTTTATATAATTTTTTATTTTTTTAGTTTTTTATTTTTATATTCTGATTTTTTTATGAGATTCAAATTAGAAGAAATTAGTAGCAGTTTTGGATTGGTTTAGAAGTGGCATAAGGCTTGACTGCTTGTTTTAAATTTCAATTAGCCTCAGTGCACTAAGTGACTTGACTGAAGGGATAGTCAGTTAGGTAAATTTTCAATTTTGGATATGATTTACGTTCTAATTCTCCATATTCAGTTAGGTAAAATTAACCAATGTCCGACGTCGGGAAAGTATTATGTTTATTGTCATGAACGTTTCAATTTACGGTAGAATTTATTAAGCATTCAATTTACAATCAGTTAGTAAGTGATATTTTAGTTAATATTAAAATTAATTAACAGTAAATAAAAAATTCAATCTTAATATAAGATTATAAGATATTAAAAATTTATTATATGTAAAATAATTTATTTTAAAAGGTCATCGTCTGAATATAAAATAATAAGATATTAAAATTTTATTAAATATAAAATAATTCATTTAAACAAGTTATTATTACGTGTGAGCGAATATAAAAAAAGTTTTTTATGTAATAAATTAAAAAAAGTCAATGAAAAAAAATTTTAACTTTAATATTATATTAAATATTTAATTTAAAATTAATTAACAATAAATAAAAAATAAATAAAGAGATTTAATTTAAATATAAAATTATAAAATATTAAAAATTTATTAAATATGAGATAATTTATTTTAACAAAATTTTGGCCCATCCCAATAGTTTAAATGGTTTCATAATATGATTTGATCTCCATTGGAGTTCTCGGTTTATGTAATGAAACAGGTGGCGCTTTGAATGCTTTGAAGACCAATTTGATTGACCCGAATAATGTGTTGCAAAGTTGGGACTCAACCCTTGTTAATCCTTGCAAATGGTTTCATGTCACAT